ACAATGTGATGGTAACCCAAATGCTGTTAGAATCTGAATTGAGCCATGTGTTGTGTTGGGCAGTCCCATTGTGGAAGACAAGTTCCAAAATAGCTTTAACGTTTTCCAGCTGGAATAGGTGATATCAAATGAGAGCACCACGGGGCAAGGATGCTGCTGGGGCTTCCTTAGCAAAAGGGAATTGCTCCTTAAGTCCTTCGTTAGCTGTGGTAGTGTTTTGCCAGAAGACAGTGGTGCCCCACCGTTATCGTGGAGAAACTAACACTTTGTCTTCATACTTAAGCTTGGAAGTACAACACTACGCTACAGAAGCATTTAATGTCTTTGTATTTCCATCCTCTTGCCTATGTACGCACACAGGCAGTAACTCTACTCCTGTGTTACATGCTGACAGTACTGAGCTTTGCAGGAAATACAAGTACAGATCAGAAAACACAAAAGCCGAAGAGTGGTTTATGTTAGCACGCAAGCAGTTTTACTGCGGATGTGATTTAAAAGTTAGAAGTGATAAAGCCAGAATTGATTTCATCTGTCCCTTCCTGCAAGAAAAGGGACTTTATGTAGTAATAGACGTGGTTTGACTTAAACTTGGAAAATAGGTGTGAAATGCAGCTGGGAAGATACCCTGACATAGTTCTGCAATGAAAAGACAAGTGTAAAGGTGCCTTAGTATCTTGCGTAGTAACAATTAACCTAGATTTACACTAGTATTACAGGGAACCAGTAAGCATGGAGAATCCCAAGACATTGCAGAATATATTGCCAAATGCAGTTAAGGAATTACTTCCAATATTAGTATGCATAGTTAAAGTGGATTAAAGAGCATATGAGAGATTATCTGGGAATTGTGGTATATCTACAGAAGAATTTATTTACCAAGGAGTGACTCTCATGCCATCCTGTCTCCGCACAAAATTTTGTGTAAGTAATGCAGATGCTAGTTATTTGCATTGTTTCTCTTTCTTCTGTCAAACCATAGTTATGTAGTGGTTACCCATGCGGTGGAGGCTGTTACAAAAACCAGCTGATGTATTTATTTCATTACTGTTGGTTGGTCTTCTCATCACAGAGCCTAGGCTGAAGCCCAGTCATTTCACTTCATTTCCTAGCCATAACTTTGTTTGAAATGACAACGTTCTTTTCATAAATGAAGCTGTAAAGAACAAAGTGAAGAAAAGTGGAAATAAATTTCAGAACAAAACAAACCAGGGAGTGCAATCCAGATGGCAACATCTACAAATGATTGGATTTGTTTCCCGCTAGATGTGGATATTTAACTTCTGTCTTAATGCCCAGTTTTCATAGATCTGTTTAGAATACTTATCCTATGCCACTCACTGTGGCAATGCTAGATAGAAAATTTTAAGACTGCTCGTTCTACTAGAAGCTGAGCGGTCTGGCTCTGCTCCAGTACAAGTCTTGTTACTTGTACTGTTAGAAACAGACATTTGTCTTGATTACTTGTAGTTCACTAATTAGTTGAATTCAGTTCTGGTTTGGCAGCGAGAAGTGGCTTTTTGATACACATTCAGTTGATTCAAAGCATGGGAGGTAGCTTAGCTGTTCGCTTCAGGTACAAAACCAGAGTTATCTAGGCTTTGCTGATTAAAGAAAACTTTATCTATATGCTGGATCTTTTTATATGCAGTAAACTGCTGCTGTACGGAAAGAAATCTTGCACCATCCCTCACAGGTACCTTATCCAGTACTGCAAGCTGAGCAGACCCAGGAATTTATTTTAATTGTTAATTGTAGGTTTAATACTTCTCCCAAGCTGGAAATGCCAGCTTGGAAATAGTATTTCAGTTCATGGGAGTGTTTATCATTTAGATGGTCCTCACACAAACTATAAACATTCTAAGCACTCATGCTGGAAAGACCAATTTAAATCAGTACTTAATGCTAGTCTATACTTAGCTCTTCCTTGTGTTTCCCATGAGTACAATTTCACAGTGATAGCAGGATTATTGAGCACTGCAAGGCACTGGAAATCTCTTTTATTTTGAATTTTTTAAACTTTGAAATCAGAATACAATATTCATTGTAGAAAGTCTTAAATGACAGAAACTGCTGTAGTATTTTAGCTGTTCGTTGACTCTCATTGCTTTAGTGTATCTATAGTATTGAATTGATGCCAGTGCTGCTATGGGGAAATGGTGGAAGAGTATAGCACTGTTGTATACTGGCTCATGAGATGCTCCAAAAAGTCTGTATGCAATGGACGTGGATGTCATCATTGCTAGTAGCTGGGTTTGAAATGATCCTTGTGATCGGCTTCCTTTCAAATAAAACCAGGGACTAATCTTAATGTCCAGTTATTCTTGAGTTAAGATGCTTCATGTTCTAGGGACTGCAGTATTGTTTGACTGCTGTGATTGGATGTTATTTTATATATTAGATGACATTTATTTACAGAAAAGTAATATAAGTGTAGTAATGCAGGATTGGGACTCTTGTAGGAAATTGTAGGATCTTGTAGGATTGTACTCCTGTAGGAAATCATCAAGGATTTGAGGAAGCTGTTGTTTTTAATCAGCACTTTGCTCACTTGATCTGAAAGGGCTTTTTACATGTAATTCACTGAACCCGTTAGCTCTGAGACAGTTTGAAGCCCTCTCCATGTGGCTGGTACTCACGCTGATAATGGGCAGTCCCAGAGCTGAATGAATTTAAAACCTTATGGAAGGCATACACCTCCTCTGTGGGGACTGGTGCGTTCTGCAATTTAGATGTATCCACCTCCATCTAGGAGAGAGCTGGGATGCCATCAGGTCTCCAGTATAGATCCTTTGCTCCCTTAATCTTATAATTCACTGCTGACTTCTAGATGCTGGATGTGCTCTTTGGCACTGCAGCTTGGTCTGGCTAGGGAAGCTGCCCACTGCAGGTTTGCAGTTGTGATCTCAAGTTTCAACTGAGGCTGCAAACGCAAGCAGCCTTTCCTCTTGGGAAAGGCCCTCATATGGCAACTGACAAGCCGGGAACCAAGGAGATGCATCTGAAGTTTCCTTCCTGTAGAGTGAAGGAGAGCTGGGAAGAGTGGCTTAGGGGGCATAAGGCCAAAGAATCACAGGAGCCCCCTGGAGGGACTTCATTGCAGGTTGCCTTGGATAAACTGTGGAGAGGATGACACGTTGCAGAGATAGAAATTGAGATTGTTGTCAATGCTTGATTATGAATAGGAGTAACATTTTTTTTTATTGACTAGAATTTATTTTTTGTTTTCAGTTCCAAGCATATACTACTGCAGCAAGGCTTGTCATCTGTTTTCACAGAATTGAAGGGTGATTAAGGTTGGAATGGACCTGCAGTCTTGAGGGTTTGAGAGCAGAAGGGCTAGGGTGGTGGGGACTGGTGAGGAGGATATACTTAAAAGCTAGCTTCTCTGGTTTCTTCACTCTGTAACTTGTCCAGACTTAGAGAAGTCAAACTTTTAATTTTTTTTAAATGAAACAGTGGCTCTGCATACAATAAAGCCAAGTAACTAACTTCCTCAGACAAGCGCTTACCATGAACTTATTTTTAAAAGTATGGATTGCTTGCTCTTATTGACTTTCATTAAAAGTCAGTAGCAGCATGGCACAGCTTTGGGTGTAGCGTATGGATGTAAGGGCTGAACGCCAATGTCTTCTAGAGTAACCGTGTAAAATTAGGGCTTTCTGAGACCGCTCCTTGTTGAATCTGTCTGCTTTCAGTACTGTCTCGTTGTTTCTTGATCCTAAGCCTGAGACTCTGATTTAGCCCATTAAGTGAGAATTTAGTTTGGCAACCACTGTCTTCATTTTCACCTGTCTTGCAGTTGTTTCAGTGCATCTTGTAGTGTTCCTTCTGTCCTCTTCAACTTTTTTCTCCCGTTCCTGAAGGTACTGCAGTTGCCACAGCAGCTGTACTGTGAGAGTCATGGCTTCCACCTCTGGGAAATTGTTTCGCTCCAGAGTTTATTTACTGCAGATCTCGTGGTCTGCAAAGATTTAGGAAATAAAGCTTTTTATAGGACTGCACATAGTAGCACCTACATTCTTCTTCCTTCTAAGTAACAGTGATGGCTGCACTCAGAAGAGGCAGCTCACAGGACCCAGCATGCCATGTGAGAGAGGCAGGGGTGGTAGGCAGCACGGAGGCAGGGTCTGGCTGATCTACAGGCTGTGACTGCTGTTACCAGGGTACAGGCTCAGTTTCGTTGCTGCCGTCTGAAACTAGAGCTTTCCACCCCGTTGGGCAGCCTAGTGGGAAGGGTAGTTTTGCAGAGGAAATCTGAAATGCCACATTACTAAAATCAATAACCAAAAATGAGGACTTCCAAAATATGTGTTTGGTTTGTTATTAAAGCTCAGCTTCTTGTGCAGCTTTAGTGGTCCTAACTAATACTTTTCTTGTAGCTATTAATTCTTTCCCTGCTTTTTTTTTTTAATATGTCTCTAATACAGCTCTGCCCAGTATCTCCTGTTTTTTCTGAGCAGTAACTCATGAATGCGTTTAGTTTTTCTGTATTGTCTTTAATATAAAAAAAAATAAATCTTTTTTCCTTGTGACAATGAAAACCTCTGTATGTTCTTCAGAAAATCCTTATGATTTAATATTTTTGGGGAAAGAGTTTGTCTTATATCTTAAATATTCTTTAGTTGCTTTTTGACTTTGCTTGACAAGATTTTGCTTGCTAAACTTAATTTGAAAAATGTTTATTTTATATGAAAAAAAATACCTTAACCCCTAACTATATTCTAGCACTGGTTAAATGCTTTTGAAATTGCAGGGTTCACTAAACACTTTTTGGTCAGAAAGCAAAGTATATTTGTTCTTATAACTAATATAGCAAGTATTCATGGAATAAAAATCCTATAGTCTACTTTGATGTGCTATATATAGGATTGACTGGACAGCGATGAAATATGAGAATTTGTGTAGTGGTCTTTAATGACCAATTCTTTTTTTTTTTCTCTAAGGTTTATATGATTTTACACTTGTTCATAAAAATGTTTTTTCCCCTTCCCCTCTTAAAGGTAGAGACCTGTGGGTTCTTGTTCTGGGGAAGTTTCCAACCCATCATAAGATTGGCATTCCAGAGTTCAAGTATGTTGCTAATATGCATGGGGATGAGGTACGTTTCAACTTTTGCAATGTCATTTATACGAGATAACACCAGAGGTTTAGAGTGAACTTCTCTCAGATCTGTGCTACTTGTTATTGAGGTACGTTATACCTCAAAGAGGACCTGCTACATGTGTATTTCTCGAGAAATTTCAAGAATAAAGCTCCCTTGTTTTGGTGAAAAGGCTTTAGGAGACCTTACATCACAGTAAAGAATCCTACAATCCTACACCTAAGACCTCTCAAGTAGAGAACTTTGTCTTCTCCATATGAATAAACTCAGAGGATTTATCTTCCTTGGCGGTGCGTCAGATGTAATAGTAGCTTGTACATTATTGTCACCCAGGCATGAAATATAGCTGATACAACTCTTTGAATACATCCTAAGATTGAATAATAATTTGCTGTGAAGCACCAAATGATGTATTTTGGGAAGAAAATTTCCCATGGGAATCACCCAGGAAATACCTAGATTTGCGTGAGACACAAAACAAAAAACAATTTCAGGATTACCTTGCTCAGGAAAGAATGCCCACTTAGTAATGATAAAGAAGAAAACAGTGATTATGAACCTTCCTGGTGTAGTACATGAATCTAAACCAGAAAGATTCAAAACTTCACTCTTCATAATATTTGCTTTCCCTTATTCTTTAGCTTTACGTGCTTATATTAGTCATGTTAAGGGAAAGGTTAAACTATGCAATATATTTCTATTCAGTCTTTAATGTAAATAAGTCAACATAAATGGCAAGAGTTTTATGTGTGTCACACTAGACTGTGAATTCCCCAAACTAAGAACAGGTGTAATAGGAAGTGTATCCTGTGCAAAACAAATCACAACCTATTGCTATTACCACTTGTGTGTGAGCACCTTTACACCTACAGACACTTGTGACGTTATGTTCCAAGAATTTCCACCTTGTTTGATGGTGGCCATGCTCAAAGTGCTGCTGGGAGTCAGGCTGCTTCGGAATTTAACTATGTGGGAGGAAGCTGATTCATGGTTTCAAATGGGTATGGGTGTTACTGGAAGCCCAAGATAAGGTTTGCAACTCCTAAAACCTGGTGTGTGTCAGCAGGGCAGTCCAGGGTGCCTGGAAACTGAGGCTCCACGTGATAGTCCCTGGAGACTGCTGAAGGGAATTGCAAACCTATGGCTAGAGATGCCCCAGCTTTGGTGGGAAAGGGATGAAGGACAGGATATGATCTCATCCAGAATGGCCTGGCTCTCAGCTCAAACACTGCCAGACTGCTCAAAGTCACTCCTCTTACTGAAACCTTCACCAATTAAGTGCTCGTTCTGTTATTGCTGCCCAGCTGGATACGTGCAAGGAACTTTGGTGGAGACATGCACTGCTTGCATATCCACAGGGTCAGGAATTGCTGGAGATCAGGCAACCTGGATCACTGCCTGGGATCTAAGTTTTTATATTGACTTTGAGGAAATGAGTCAAGATTTTTTTTTTTTATTTTTTTTTTTTAAATGTCTGAGTTTGAGCAGAGTTGATCCTTGAGCTGCCGAGGTACCATATAGCACAAAGTCCCGTGCTGCGTTCTAGCTTGTTCGTTAGACCTAGGGAAGATTCTGAAAATAGAGCTATTCTTCCTTTTCAGGCCCTCGTGATGGCCATAGAACCACAGAATGTGTTTGGTTGGAAGGGTCCTTTAAAGGCCATCTAGTCCAACCCCCCTACAGTGAGCAGGGACATCTCTACTGAGATCAGGTTGCTCAGAGCCCCATCAAGCCTGACCTTGAGTGTCCCCGGGGATGGGGCCTCCACCACCTCTCTGGGCAACCTGTTCCAGTGTTTCACCACCCGCAGAGTAATGAACTTCTTCCTAACATCTAATCTGAATCTGCCCTGCTCTAGTTTAAAACCACTGCCGCTCGTCCTATCACTACACACCCTTATAAGCAGTCCCTCCCCAGCTTTCCTGCAGGCCCTTTCAGGTACTGGAAGGCCTCTATAAGGTCTCCCTGGAGCCTTCTGTTCTCCAGGCTGAACAACTCCTGTCTTTGTAGGAGAGGTGCTCCAGCCCTTCGATTGTTTTTTGGTCATAGACTTTACCTAACTTTTTTTTTACTATGGCTATAATGCACAGTCGGTGTTTGTTTTTCCTATCTGACTGTAAATGTATTTCAGATGGCAGGAAATGAATTCCTCATAAACAGAAGCATTGGAGAACTTGAGTATTTTGCCCATAAGTTAAGATTCTGTTGGATTAGCCACTAGGGACAGATTCACCTCCTCCTATAACATCTTAAGCAGATAAGTTTTGCACTAACTGTATGACAAGCTTCACCTTGTGTTTCACAATCTTTCATAACTTAAAATTGTAGGATTATGGCTTCACTGATCTAGTTAGGTCTTCTGTACACTTCAGGGATGTCTTCCATAAATGATACAAAGTGAGGAAAGTTCTGTTTTCAAGTGTTATTTGGTGATGCTGCCCTTCTAATCTCTTGTGATCACACAAATGCCATTTTTGTTTCCTGACTTAGCTGGCCAGCTGCTCCTAAAAGTTAGGAGGGACTCTGAATTGCATGTGTGCAGGCTGTTCACACATGCTGCTGGAAGAAAACCTAGGTTAGTTGGAGAGCTGCCCAACAAGGAAGTTCTAATAAAATAATGTGAGTATACAATACTAGGAAGAGAGTAGAGTATTATTTTTAGAACTGGAAAGATTTTTTTTTTTTTTAAAGAAGGATAATTTTTCTTAATGTACTGTAAGACATGACCAGCCAAGGTCTAAATGATTTTATCTTGTGATCAGCACTGCCAAATGGAGTGGACTTTTGCCCTGGATCTTGAGGTATGCAGCACAATACTTCTCCCACTCTTTCTGCGTCTGTATGAAGTTGGACACCATTTTTAGCAGTACTTTTTGTTTAGCCCAAGCCAGGTTAGAACTGACAATTAGAGGCACTTCAGTCACTTGCAGCTATGTGAGACTTTAAGCAAAATGGCACAAAGTGCATAGGCCTGTGAAATGTCGATGAAATCTGCACTGAGGAAGGTGAGGGAGAGGTTGCCTGCTGTTCTGGTGCAGCTCTCACTCTGAATTCGGCAGCAACCTCTCTTGTCCCTGGCTTGTACTCTTAGTTGAAGGATCTGCTCCTCAGTGTGTGCACTCACACACTCCTGTCTGGGGCAGAACTCATTCCACTTAACACAGGCCACGACCAAACGCCCAAACACTCCTAAGTCGTAAATGGAACTGAACTGTCACCTTTTGACTGGCTGTGCCGGTGACTTGAGTCCAGTGTACACAACTGAACCATAGTATCTGCTTAGGAGGCTGTTCCTAAACTAAGTGTAGCACGGCAGGGAAACTGTTTAAGGAAAAGCGTGTCTGAGCAAAGTGTAAACTGCCTGGGTGTTTCTGCTTGTTCCTTTTAATGCATTAAGTGTATGGCTTCCCTTAACTTTCTGCAGCTATAGTGTGAGCCATCACAAGATAAACTCTTTGCCA